GGGGGGGGGGGGGGGGGGGGGCGAACCGGGATCTTTTGTAGGGTTTAATTTTTTTCTATGTTTTCGTCGAGACCCCCGCCTGATAAACCCAAGGCCAGCGGATTTACGGAGTGTGAGAAAGGAGCATGGTGCTTTATGGTGCCTTAAATGCAGACCCCTGACAAACAAATGAAAGGCCTTAACATCAGGATCCCTAGTATAATCCTCGCTAGAGGGTTTAGTAACCGGGGGTCTAGATTAACGACCGCCAAAAGAATCAGAATGACATTAGCAACAACAATGACAATGATGAGAACAACAAGATTGATAACCGCAATCATGACAACATGATGATGATGACGACGGCGTGAAGCAAAATGCTAGTAACTACTAGTGGTGATCTTGCTAAAAACCTGGTATATTGGGCTTTGGAGTCTGCGCATCGAATTTATGGGAACTTCCTGAGCTGGTGAAGCCTTTGGGAGTCCGAGTTCGGACCAGTAACGAACATCTGCCCGGCGCAAGAAGTCATCCCAGTACTTTGCAGGCCATCTGTCCTGAAGCAGCTTATGCCAGTTAAGGCCTTAGGGTGATGAGGTAACGCTTCTCGTTGATGTCGCCTACGCTCAATCAGCAAAATCTTCTTTGTGTGCTGTGTCTTCCCACTGCCAGTCACCAGCATGGTATGGAGCGCACAGGCGCCATGCAAGGAATAGCAGTGAATAACAGGAATAAGCGGCACTACAGCAAGCATGACACGTGAGTGCGGGGATGCAGATTCGTTCGAGTTCTGCTCGTGGCAACTCGCCAGCTCTTTGGCCTCCACAGCTACGTAGCACACAGTACAACTTGAGTCACCTGGGTCACCACCAGCAGAGGCGACAACGAGGAAGCGGAGAGGAGCGGCTCGGAAAGACAAAGCGGTGAAGATCCCGAGCTGACAGCAGATGCCTAATATGACGGGCGACACGGCTCCGACCTAGCCATCACCGGTCGAAGAAACAAGTATACCCTAAACCCCTAAACCCTAAACCCTATACCCTAAACTATACTACACCAGGATCCCGCTACACTTCGCTCCCCAGGCCGCCTGTATCTTCGCAACTTGCAGCTGGGGTGTATACCAGACATGGTTGTTCGGAAGAGTGTTTTTTGGCATTGTCGATTGTTCGTGCTTCTTACTGCCGGGTCCTAGTTGAAAAATACAGGTTCTTAATTAAGAGAGCGGATATCTTATTTGGGGGTCTTACAAATGATAAAGACCTGCTATTGGGATCCCTTGTGCTCTTCGCTGAAACTTTCGAATTTTGGTGCACAGTCTCTTGTGCAGTATCAATGAAGGGACACGGAGAGGAGGGAGAGGTTGCAACTGCGTAATGTTTACGCGGGGGTCGGCTGGATCTTGTGCTGCAAATATCTCCTTCGTGGTGGTCCCTTTTTTTAGGGTCATGGCCAGCCTTGCTTCGGGAGAGCCTCTGACTTACCCCCGGACGATTCGCACCAAACGCGGGAGCCTTCACCTCCTCCCAGAAGCTTCGTAGCAGCATCCACCCGAGGCCAGGAAAAAAGTCCGATCGATACACAGCAGTGACGTTGCTGGCAACCTTAGGCTGGGGAATCTGACAGGATACATCAGGGTTCCTGTCTTCTCTACTCCTGAACAGATATGTCTTCTCAGTAGGGATAAGATGCTCTCGAAGTCCAATGCAGGAAACACCACAAGAGGGTGTCAACCCACTCCCACCCTACAGTACAGAGTCTGTCTCGGGTCCCAATTAGATCTGAAACTTCGAATCGGGGCGCCCTCATGACTAAGATAGTGCTATGAGGTCTAGTAATTATATTCTGAGTTTTTCTTCAGGAACCCTACGGAAGAGTGGTCCCAATTGTTCCGGCCTCCATCTTCCCTTCAACCACGAGGTCCCAAACTTAAACTTCCTGAACCCATATAGGATGTGTATGTATGTATATATATATATATAGAGTTTTGTATAGTATGTATAGTGTATATATATATATGTATATATAACAGTCTTGTAGCAGCCCGTGTACAGTAGCACAGATCCCGAATACTCCTCATGCCAGGCTTCGTCTGGCTTCCCATTGTCACTCCAAGCAGAAACGCAAAAGAGGTCCTTGGTTGCTCCGGCAAAGTCGTCAGGGGATCGTGATGGGATTCCCAAGGTTTGGGGCTTCCGGGTTTGCGGCTGTAGGCTCTGGAACTTCAGCGTTTAGCACACCGAAGACTTCATCGCAAGAGCTGTTGCTGAAGTCACCTCCACGAGCGAAACCCAGGAGAGATCTTCGGGCTAGGGGTTCGAGCTCAATGTGCCCGGGTCTCCGGGTCAGCCACAAGCAGCGGTCGCGTGGCATCGAAGAAGGAAAAGAAGTCGGGCGAGATCTCCTGGGCAGCCGGCTTCAAGGATGGGATGCTGAGACTTGGGCCTACGGGCAAATATGTTGGAAGACAGGAAACTCCCGCCCAAGACAATTTTCCGAGTGTCTAAACAGCGAAACCTCCGGGGCCGTCCCACTCAAGTTCAAGCAGCTTTCAGCAAAGCCGGTCCCCGTCCGAAGGAAACTCACAGGCGAGGTCTGTTGGTTCCGATTGTTTGGCACAGCACGATTGCATCCGTCATTTCTGGCAAAGGCAGCGGCAAAAAGGGTCGGAAACATGTCGTCTTTCCATCCGCATGCGTAGGCAAGCTTTCGAAGTACCCATCGGAGAGCTTCGAAGGCGAGTGAGCTTGCAACTTGAGTCAATTTGGGGGCTTGGAGTTGATATGAATGGTATAGCGGGGGCATGCACTAAGAAAACAGCCTGTTCAGCATGACAACGGTCTCTTCTGAAAACGAGCTGCTAGGTCTTCCTCCAACACGATGGCTTGCTGGTATCCTTGGCTGCGACTTCAGTCAAACGACTACACAGAGCGTTGAACAGACAGAATTCAAGGGCCAACATTTAAAGAGTACACTGTGCGTGCGTCTGCTGGCCGGCGGGCTGCAACTTGCAACTTAGTTCAACTGCTTCTGAGCAACCAAGTCGACTTCTCGATATGGGCTGAGTCTCTGAACCGAAGGACTTGAGTTGAGACTCGGAATCCCTCATCTAGGCCTTGGCCCCTTGATGTTCTACGGACCGAGAGAGTCTCAACGCCGGGAGGCCAAACGTGTCGAATACCTGCCCAAGCGCCCATCCGTAATGGTGCGATAAGCGCTCGTAGCCCGTCGGCAAAAACCTCGGTCTTTAGGGATTAGGGCCTTGAAGGGTTCATAAGATTTTGACACTCACACTTGGACAAGCGTGGAAAAGACGGTTACCAGGGTCTAACACAGCGCAAGAAAGATCCGCAAACTTGCATCGGCGCATCGCCTATCCCTACACAATTTCTGGTGGTTCGTTCGGCCACAGTGCCATCAAAGCTTCACCGTTGGACTGCTGATGATGCCAAGCTGACACTTCACGCTCACTCACTGCTTCCTCGGATGGTGTGACAGTGATCAGGATTACGGTAGGTGAACCCTAAACCCTAAACCCTAAACCCCAAACCCTAAACCCTAAACCCTAGCAATTGTATGATGGCGATCAGGACGTGGAGACCAGCGGCCGTCAAGGCTGTGGTATCCCTTTTCTGCCGAGCGGCGTCTTGGGCTGAAATTGCAAACGCTTGAACCTCAGATGCCGAGCTCTGGAGCTCCGGGGCTGGGAGACAATGTGGGGGGGGGGGGGGGGGGGGGNNAGAGAAAGAGAAAGAGAGAGAAAGAAAGAGAGATACAAAGAGAGAGAGAGAGAGAGAGAGAGAGAGAGAGAGAGAGAGTGGAGATGCAGAGTCCAACGGATATGCTTCAGTGCGTTGGGCAGTATAGAGCTCCTTACCCACAGGTGTGCAACTTGTCCCAGTTCGAGGATCGGCTTAGAACTATGCTCTCCACAAATGCGGTCGACATCCCCGCGCAGGGCAGTGGGGGTAAGCCTGAAAAACCTGGGGAAGTCCCAGCAGCAGCCTTCCTGACCTTAAGAATTCCTCTAAGGTCTTCAACACCTCCGCATCGTCGCCGTCCTGAGGCTGGGTCCACTTGGGAGCGGGCTTCGGCAGGCAAGGCACGGAAAGCCGTGCCGTTGTTCATGAGCAAGCATTTGTCTGTTCGCTTCGTGGAACGTTGATTCTCAAAGCCTTCGTGCCAGAATATCGCATCGCCGCCGTAAGCAGAAAGCTTCAAACGGACAAAACGGTGTCCTGCGAGGCAATGACTGGAAAACGAGCAGGATCCGATCTCTGCTGGAAGATCGAGGCCAAAGCCCTGCACAAAGTTTCTCTTACTTTGGGGAAGGAGCTTGGGGACCGAGCTGTCAGAGGCAAACGATTTCAGTTCCAGGAATATGCGAGGACAGCCTTGGGGGCTTCAGCACAAGCTGCTCTCTCACTTGCACCTGGTTCGCAGTAGGTCAACGAGCAACACTATTACACTATGATAGGCAGCTCAGCACCTATGCGTTCAAACCCATGATCACCCTGCCAGTCGAAACCCGTAAACCACGTAACACTGGCAGTTTGGGTTTTCGCATCTCGGACACTCCAGTCTTGGTGCAGGCAATTTTGACGGTCTGCAAGTGACGGCTGCCGTCCAAGTCTGCTAGGTCAACACCTTCGCTCAAAATCCTTGGCATCTGGCTCTCCAGTACTGTACCGACCGTCAAAACACCGAGGCCGCAAGGCGGAACCTTGAAGAACCGTCAAAACCCGACTCCCACAGATGCCGGGGCCTTTGGAGGTAGTTGGCACGCTTGTGGGTGATCATGAGAACCTCTGCGAAGGGCTTTGTGACTTTGTGCAAGACTCGGTGGCCACAGCTACACTGTCAGGGAGGTGGCATAACTTTCACAACCATGGGAGCATCGGGCCATGGCTTTCACAGATCGTGCAGATCGAGGCCCTTGGAGCGCAGAACCCATGTCGAAAGTGCACAGATCCGAGCAAAGGTCGTCTCGAGCCATTTCCAGGCAAAGATATGCACACAATCCGGTTTCTGTCTCGCTGAACTCCATGGTGCTGGCTTTCAGGGTTCTCTTCGGGAGCAGGGCTCTAGCTGGGTACCTTTGGCACGGGGAGCGTAACATATACAAAAATACGTAGAATACACACATATGTATATATATAT